GCTACACTTTGATATGTAAATATAAACTAGTGGATGTAAATAAAGTTCCAAACATATGTCAATTACATGTAACAAACAGCTGTCGGTAACTGTGAGTACTCTCAGATCTGTCCTTAGTGTCTTTTTGTTGTGGGGATGTATAAGCACCCTGCCACGTCCATTCTATGTTTTTGTTAGATGCATTTCTATTTGTATCCATCTGATGAGTTAAGCTTTTTTCAACTGATTTTTACAGCTTGTTCTTATGTTGTACTGTTACACCACTGTCCCAGGTTAGGGGAGGACTGAGCGCTTACAAACATTTTTAACCCCGTCACATTCTTAATGCGCCTGTCCCAAGTCAGGAGCCTGTAGTTCAGTGGTTGTCGGTGGTTCATGTCTGTCATAGTTTGGTTTTTTTTTGTAAAATGTTTTGTTATAAATTAGGCCATTAGTTTTCTCAATTGAATTGTTTCATATTTTACATGTCGAGGCCTTTTATAGCCGACCATACGGTATGGGTTTTTCTCATTATTGAAGGCCGTACGGTTGCCTATAATTGCTTACATACACTTCATTCGAACTGTGGTGGATAGTTGTCTCATTGTCGATCATACTACATCTCCTTAATTTTATATTTAGGGATGTCTTTGAAACTTAATTGAGAGATCCGGACTTTCGACATAATCTACACATCACTATAATCACGTGCAAGTACCGGACGTGTAGTTCAGTTGTGATCGGCGATGAAACATGATTCAATTCGGATTGTCTGCCATTAACCAGAAATAGATCTCATTAAAAAATAACTTAACATATTACACGTACAAGTGTGTTCTATGTATGGGAGATATGTCAGACACTTTGAGTTAAGTTTAAGTTATGTTGCAAGTCCGGACGTTTCTACCAATAGATGAATCAAATTCAATTTCTACAAATCAATTCCTTCCTATGCCCAGGCAAAAGACATGATTGTCAACATTGTTTTCGGCAATCTAGCCGTTAGATATTGTGTGCACCATGTGATAATGAAATAACACTATATAAAGCTACATTTTGCGTTTATATGTATTACTAAGTGTTAACTTTGTTGGTCTTTTTTTTTTTGGCAATTGAGCTGTTTGTCTTAGTTTTATATTACTTTTCTGGATTTTACTTCATTTTCACAACAGATTTATTTTCAACTGTCTTAAAATCTTTGCTATCGTGATCATGCATGTGAGATGCTATTGGAGCGTGTCTAAAGGTCTATAATGACCTCTCGCGGTCTTTTGGGGAGGCTTTTGTTTTCAAGTTCCTATCTAATTGGTGATGAATAAGCAAATAAAAGATGATGTGTTTTCCATTTCATATTTACCGAACTTTAAGTTGACAATTTCATCTAATTCACCGTTAACATATGTAACCAATTTTAAATTAAAGAGCTTTCAAATATCTATGAATACTGTGAGTCGATCTTTATCAACTCTAAATTTAAACAATTCGATATTAAACAAAATACCGGAAGGAATATATTTAAATCAGCAGGTTAGTAAAAAAAATTAAACAAGCGTGATCATTAATAAAGGATCAACATCAGATGTTAGTGGTTTTATAAAATATAGTATCATAAAAAGCTGCCTAGCAAATCCAAAAAGAGAGATAGAGAGAAAAGATACCAAAGCTGCATTCAAAATTTTGTTTTTTTAAATCCAGATAAAACAATGTCCAAAAGGAAAAAAAAGGACGAAACAATCAGCAACAAAAGTCCACAAAACACTTCACTTGATTGAGAGACACGGACCCCACCAAACAAGTGGGATGAACGTAGGCGAAAGCTATCTTTTTCTCTCATTCAGTTTTATAAACCCATTTTAACACCGTCACTTCTCTTTCAAATAAGATTTATTTTTCAGAACCGAAATAGCCAATTTTCTGGGGCCCTTTATAGCTTGCTGTTTTGTGTGAGCCAATGCTCCGTGTTGAAGGCCGTACCTTGACCTATAATGGTTTACTTTCATAAATTGTAACTTGGATGGAGAGTTGTCTCATTGGCACTCATACCACAACTTCCTATATCTACTAACAAATGTTTAATGTAGTTGGCGATAAAGGACAGTTTCGAAATAACAACATTAAGTGGAAATGATGACGAATATCTAGTTTCTGTTTGTTAAACGTCACCATTTGCATATGTGTGGTCTGACATTTGACTATTTTTCCCTTCTCAGATCTCTGTTCTCCTTCAAAACCTTTGTGAAAAAATTCAAACTATAATTATCAATGAACAATGTAGATAACTGTTCGGATAGTTTTTGTTTGGATAATGTTACCAAGATGCCTTCCTCATACAGCATGTCGTCGTGTGAATCTAATAGTGTTATATGTCAACTTTTGATAAAAATACGTTACCTAATCCAAGTACAAGTAGATATAAGAAGATGTGGTATGAGTGCCAATGAGACAACTCTCCATCCAAGTCAAAATTTATAAAAGTAAACCATTATAGGTCAAAGTACGGTCTTCAACACGGAGCCTTGGCTCACACCGAACAACAAGCTATAAAGGGCCCCAAAATTTACTAGTGTAAAACCATTCAAACGGGAAAACCAACGGTCTAATCTATATAAAAAACGAGAAACGAGAAACACTTATGAACCACATCAACAAACGACAACTACTGAACATCAGATTCCTGACTTAGGACAGGTGCAAACAATTGCAGCGGGTTTAAACGTTTTAATGATACCAAACCTTCACCCTTATCTGAAACAATAGTGTAACATCACAACATAGAAAGACATGGGTCTATCTCCCTATTTATACCACTATAATACGAGATTTCTACACCCTACGAGTTTTTTGTAAGAACTACACTGTTCTATCTCCACACTCTCATTGGATTACAATGGCGAATTCATCTAGTTAGGTCCAAAACAAATATTTTCATAGTGTTGTATCTTCACTATTTGTCATGTATTTTTGCTGTTAAATAATTGTTATAAAAATTATCTTAATAGTACTATGAGTAAATGGTTTGCATGGTTTTGACTCAATCTATGAGCAATTCTTAGCAAATGCAGCAGTACAGAATTGGGGATATGACAAAGTTAAAATTTCCATGGTCTATCTCCAATGGTATATAGGGATAAATTTCTAAAACTACATTATTTGTAGTGAAATGGTCTATCTTCAAAAAGGGGATGCTTTTATTTACCAATGAAACAAAGAGTTATTCTTCATGTATGTAAATTCGATTCCTATATAACTGTTTATGTGTCAGTCAAATATTTATGATATTGAGCTTTTAAACTTAAACTTAAATTTTTACCACTATTACCTAATGGGAAATACATCGTCATAAAATTCACACGACGATGTTTTTTTCTTTCTAATAGGTAATTTCCTGTGCTGATTTTTAGAAGTTTCCTTTTCCAGATCTAGCTCTCTTTCCTGGTATGATAATTTATTTGAACGAAACAATGATTGTTTGAAATTTTATGGGTTTGACATTGGTATTCATCGCGATTATCTCTTTTTATTATATACTTCTTAGTAAATACAAGTAAATCGTATGTGTAATACAATCGATGGCAATCGTGCTGTATCAGCCAATCGTTATGATATCGATATCAGTCACGGTTGCAAAGGCTTTATCAAACCCCTAATCTGTATGACGTCACGTAATCGATATTAGTCAGGGTTACAAGGGCTTTATCCAACCCCTTATACATGTTTTACGTCATGTCACGTGAAAAAAAAACATCTTGTTAAAGTGACTTATTTAGTTGTACTTGAGGTACATGTATATAATAAAGTGTATATGATATGGCTTTTTCAATATCACACTCTGTATCAACCCTCAACCCCTCGAGCAGAGCTCTTGGGATTATATTGGTGTCTCGGTTTGATACAGGTGTGATATTGAAAAAGTCATATGATATTCTCTATCTATCTCATATATATGAAACAGAAAAGATCGTTGAACAACTCATCCGTTGTCATTATCACAGATATTATGCACTTATTCAAAATCTATATATTGACAAGGATCAAGCAAAGTCATGGCCTTATTTCTTCCTATGTTCTGAACAGTCTAAAGTTCATCTAATTGTCTTATCATTACTATAAGCTACCCACTGAAAAAGAGGAATAGAGTTGATATTGATCAAACATCTAAATCTTTAAGATAATTTAAGATAATTTGAAGATAATTTAAGCATATGTATAATGTATGTACGTTTATATAACTTAAAATATATAAAATATTGATGTAGTGGTAAGCTTTATGTGGCCAATAGTTAGAATATATATTTAAACCTTAATTGATTCTAAAATGGGTACATGTAACAACTAGTCCTTCGTATATTATAGCTTACTATAATATACCTGAATATTCAAAAATGTAATCTACAAGTAGTCACTTATTTCTATTGCTCTTTCGTAACAGAAAATCATTATATCTTATATTTCCAATCGGGTGTTGGTAGACGAAATAATTACGGTTGACATACTTGGGGAGGCCTGCTACGAATGATTCTGACAACAAAGTTAGGCGTGTTATACACCATTGTGTAGATAAATCAATTTAAATTTACGGCATAACAAGTTTTAGTGGGGTTGACAACCGAGAAATCGAAATATAACGGAATTTCGCGACCAGGTAAAATTTAAAAAAAATGCGAGTTAAGTACCTTGTGTTATATTAAGGTAGATAGAATTTTTTTTCAGAGACAAGTGCATGTGCACAACTGGCAAGTTGGAATATGTTAAAATTATCCGTATACGGTAAAAGACTTTTCGTTAGATTTAAAGAAACTACTACTACGAGGGCGTTTATCGACATTGACTTCTCACGAGGAACTCGCACGGTCAATGGGGATTTATAGATTTATTTCTCAATATCAATTCTATTTAATAAAACCTACACAATTCATGTGGAAAATATATGCAAATTACATGTGATATTTGTAGTAAATTGCCCCTGTACTCCAATGGTAGAACCTTCCATGTGTAACTATGAAAAACCACGAAATAATACAAAATGATAAAAAAATATGATAACGAAAATAAAATATTAGAAAGACAGGTAATTGTTTCAAAAATGCATATTATTCTGATATGCTTATAATGATTTAACAAGCAGGTGAAAGTTCATAAATGTACATGAATGATTATTACAAATTAGAACATTTTTTTTTGTAAAATCTAATTACAATATAACTGTTGCTAATGTAAAATCAATCATTGCATAGTACTAAACTGGACCTTTCAGTTTTAACTGACTGCAAGTTAGTAACTTCTTATAATGTTTTAAATAAATTCATTTCACTCTGAAGCTATAAACAACCCAGGACGTTTCGTCATTGTTAATTTTACCACTTACACGAACTTCACCAAAAGGTGGTGTTTTAATCGTAGTATCCCATGTATTGGCAGTCTTTTTAGCTATATGTTCCCTTGCTATAGCTGCTTCTGACATAACGGATGAACTAAAACGGAAACGCACATCACTGTTGGCGGGAAGATCGCGCATAATGGGTTCTACGAGACTACATTTGAATTTTAATGTCTCTGGGTATGTTTGTGGAAAAGGACTCGTTATATCTGGTTCTTTCAAGTTTTGAACGAGGATGTTGACGGCTGGCGTATAACTGCTTTCTGAGTTAAACTGACTAAAAACAATTAATCGATAATATCCTTTCTTGGGTAATCTAGCTCGCAATTTCAAATGCTTGTCCATTTCTAATAGCGTATACTGAACAAGTTTGACGTCATCACTGTTCTTTAATGTTGCCATGACCTTTGTACCATCTTTAACTTTGATTGGAACACAAACTTCTCCATTTTTAGATGTTATCGATGTTGGAATTTTCCCGACATTTTGGAATCCCCTTTCCTTCCAGTTTTCGACGGGTCCATAGAAACTATCAAATTTTGGAAAGGGGCAGATGCCACTATCTACAGTCTGACATTTTATCACGTAAGTTATCAGACATTCTAAAGTCTTAGAATCAGCACCGACTGAACCATATATATCCAAAGTATACTCCCCACTCGATGGTGGTGTCACAGTAACAAAAAATGTTTTGTTTTGCTTTCTTATTCCGACGTACTGTTCTTTGTTGCATCCCTTCGAATCAAATAGCTTAACGTTAACGTCGTCCAACTTTGTGGATTTTGTATGAAATTTTATATCAATGGTTTTGTTCATTTCTAACACATTCATTTTGTGAGACTTAAATCTTATGTCCCATTCTCGAGCGTGTCGTGAAGGTTTTATCCTCATATTAAATGTTTCTGGTGACATTGGTTTCTTCAAAAGCTGCCATTTTGCACTCTCAACTTCATCGTTATCAAAACATGGATAATGGTCAACAATGAAATGTTCTGGATCTGTAAGGAAGTAAAACTCTGTGAAATTCTTTTTGAATTGCTTGTTATTACCAACGGTTCCAGCTCCCCATGTTGTCTCGATAAATCGCCATTCTCCACAGACATAGACAGCATTCCAAGCATGGTTAGAAGGTGTGTCTTTAGAAAATTTAAAACCTGGTTTGTAGCTGTATCCTTTAGAATGGCCATTGATTTTCATTACCGGTATTCCAGCATGACTAACAAATATAAATAAAGACACCATTCAATCATCGAACCTTTCAAGTTTTGAACTCAAAAGCGATTCAGTAAAATTGCACAAAATATCTATGAATGCAGTGCTAACAAACAATCAATGAAACATGAGCCTTATATTACTTCAATTCTGAGGTGAAAAACATGATAGTTTTCATAAAGTCTTTCTGTTACAACCTTGTTAGATTAAAAATGAAATTAACCATTGCTGCTATCATACTGAACGTTACGAATTTATAGACTTGTCTTTTCGATGATTTCATGACATATAATTCTTGTTCAAAGGATTACACAGATACTGATTGTCTAAAAGAAATTTATGGAACTCTATTGTCCGTAACTTATAAAAAGAATGTAAATCAATTTCACATTATCATAAGTTAGACGACTAATTTAAAATTCCTGTATATTACAGGAAATGATAATTACATAATAGTTATTGAAAAACTGGTCATTATCGTGATATAAGGACTGTCCTACGGGCAGTCCATGTATCACGATAATGACCAGTTCTTCAATAACTATTATGTTTATTTCATTGAGGTACCATGTTTTTACAAATTCTCATAAATTCAAAATGTTCAAAGCAAACTCGAGTTATTGTACGATTTCTATATCAAAGAGTGAAGACCAGTAATAGTAATACATGTAACTATAAGGAACTGCCATTCATTTAAGTGCAACTTTTCAGTATATGAATACTAAATAAAGTTTTCTATAATTTTATAAATTACGAAAACATATGTTAAACAATTCAACAACTTAAATATGAAATTCAAAACAGGAAAATGTTTTATTAAAGGGACATCTCTCTAAGCAGAGAAACCACGCCCGACCGGTCATTAACAAAGAAACCACGCTCAACCGGTCATTAACATGTAAAAGTCCGTCAACGACCTGTTTTCTTGTCCGTTTTGTTCTGTTAAAGACCGATGGAATTTATTACTGAAGAATAAAAAATGTCATGTGGTCCCTTTTTATCCAATAAGAGAAGCTAATTCTTAACCGATATGAAATAAATACATTTGAATGTGTTTTCATTTGATCATATATATATATAATATACATCTGTACTTACTCGCACAGTAACTGGAATATAGAAGCATAACCATCACACACACTACTTTTACAGGACAACAATGATGAAGGATCATTGGAAACATTTCGCCTCCTTCCAAAATAGGATTCTGTATCATAACTGAAGAAAAATATATACATGTACTATATATATATATTAAGTATTTAAATTTTGACTGCATACATTTTATTTATCAATACAATAAATGAATGTGTCAGTCGAGTGTTTGGTTTTGTCAGGTTTTATGAACTGTTTGTGTTAATACATTTTTCACTTTAATAGTGTCGATTTTGCAATTATTGTCTTATGTGTGAACATTTTTAATCCTTTCTATTTTATAAGCTATAATTCCATCTACAAAAAAATAAAGAAATTTAAATCTGGTCCATTTTATCGTCTATTTTTTTTTTTAAAGTTAAACAATGAATCATGTAAACATTGAATCTGATTTTCGTGTATGCAGAACAGTGAGATATAAAATACGTATCAATTTACTTTGACGTAAAAATTTTCAATATTTAATATTTATTTACCTGATATTTTCGGTAACCCATTTATAGAATGCTCTCACTTTTTCTATATCGTTTGTTGCTGGTTTAATTAAGTACTCTGCTAGTTTTTCAATGGATCGTTCTGCATATCTTGGAGTCTAATTTATAAAATAAATGAAAAAATTAATATGAATACTATCCAAAAAAGTATATACTCATTCTATACATGTACCTCTTTCAGATCGATATATTCTCGTATCGACCGCATACAAAGGCAGGCTTTAAATCAATTGTAAAATGCCCCTTTGCATTGAAATTCTTATTACCTGCTTGTTCTTTCGTAGTGAACTGTAAAACATGGTAAACATAATAAGGAAGTACACCTGAATATTATTCAACATGTATAAATATAAGTTTGACACATTACAATGTTACAAATTCCTGCGAAAGACAATGAGAATCATCTTAGGACAAAGTCATCTAGCCTTAAGGATCCCCGTAGGACATCTAGTCTTAAGGATCCTCGATAATGCTCATGAGAAGCCCGGCACAGTAAAGAAAGAAGAAGGACATCTAGCCTTAATGATCACCATAGGACATCTAGCTTTAATGATCCCCGTAGGACATCTAGCGTTAAGGATCCCCGTAGGGCATCTAGCCTTACAGATCCCCGTAGGACCATTGATTCTGAGCTATCCTGAACACAACACATAATAGAAACACCTTCAGTGCTTCTGTTTTCGTATGTTATGTACACCGGTAGAACTATACCACAACTATTATTTAAATGTTAAAAGGGAATTTTCGGTTGACCATTAGTGTGGCACTTTCGGTTCGAAAACTATAAGAGCTACGAAAATCCGTTCGCATGAAAGTTCATAGGGGACGACAATTTGAGATTATGGGGGTTGGGTAGGGGAAATAAATGCTCTGACATGGTGAGAATAGCAATAAAAAAAACTGCAAAAAATAAACTTGCCCTAGACAGGATGAAAATGAATATTCTGCCCAACAATATACAGGACACAATTATGGCCAAAATTGAAATAAATTTTCACGTGGCAAGGACCGATCAGAAATAAAAAAAATCAAGCCGTCAACAAGTGAAATGAACATCCAATCTGCCAAAAAATTCTGTAAAGCCCCCCCCCCCCCCCAATAAATTAAATGGTAGTCCCCTGATAATTTGAATCCCCCCCCCCCCCCCCAATAAATTAAATGGAAGTCCCTTGATAATTTGAATCGTAATAATTTTGTTTGTTATTTGCTGTGCCTGTACTGATTTTGGGGACCTGGTTTTCGAAAATATCTCATGACTGTCTTATTTGACATGTCATTGTCGTAAGATATGTTCATAAATTTTATCGTTAACTTAAGACACTTCGCGACATGAATTATGATGGTCTTAATATGATTATATTTAATGTAACGATATCTCCAGACCTCCTCGTTCTAATGTCATTTACTGCATTTATCATTGCACATGCAGCGTTGTGTTGCTCTGTCTGCTAGATAATAAAGATGTATTCTTCACTTCGTCAATCTCATGCAACGTTAACTTTGGACTCCTTTTCTAACTCATGATTATAACTCATAATAAATGTATATATACATATATTATTTCTTTCCTAATCTAGTAGTTAATTAACGTATTTGCTGGGGCATTCCGTTAAGCGGGTACTCGATGTACCAATTCTTAAAAGTATTTTCAATTCAACATCACTTCATGTATAATAATACATGAACACGAAGTTCTAGAAATTTATTATCCATACAAAATAAATCTAAACAAACTATCAACTTTAAATTCAAGATTTTGTTTCATATATAATTACATATTAATTATAATGTAAAAAATAAAATATTCGTAAATAATAAGAATGGTAATAATTATTATTTTCATACTTATTATTTTTATAGTTACTTTTATCATTTTTAATCATTATTTATAATAAAAGAAAATATGTTCACTTATATCAATCATAAGAGCATCATAGTTATAACTATCTAAGGACAGCTCTGCTTTTCATTCTATTGCATATCATATGCTAGTCATAAGATGGTCTTATGACATATCTTAGGATACTTTAAAAAACTATCCTCCCGGGCCCTAATAGAACGGAAACTAAGAGCTACAAACATATTAGTAGAAAATTCAAAGAAAATAAAATCCATAAAAATATGATTTTTAATAGGATTAAAGATTAAAGTTTAGGGGTAAATCATAAAAGGGTAATTGGTAGTTTGGGAACTTTTATTTTGAGTCAAATTTGTTTGAAATTCCGGGTATCTATTATGTTGAGTCAAACTTGTTTAAAATTCAAAATAAAAAAATAAATACGGTGAAAAAAAATATTCTAAAACAAGACCTTGGAAATTTTTATCGTCATTCTTAAATTGGAAAGTTTCCAAGTACTTACAGGGAGTATATATTACGTATAAAAACTTACGCATATTGTCATGTATTGTATGTGGACGACCTAAATTTAAATCTATGATTCATGATTCATAATGTGTGTGTATTGATTGATTTTAATATATCCAATTCAAAGAACATCATGCATACGATACTTTAAATTTGTGTATTGTAGCATATATTTTTGTAGTAAACCCTCCAGTCTAAAAGCTTTTCAATTTCCCATAAATATTTATTACGACAAAGTCTGTCCGATATTCTGCAGAATTCGTTTTCAAATTGAAAATGTTTAAATGTATCAGTACTTAAAATTGTGATGGGTTCATTTGTAAATGATAAAGGTAATTTGTAATTTGAATTTGTTCATGTTTAAGTAACTAAACAAATACACTTACAAAAAATGTATGTCTCTTAGATAGACACTTCCTCGTCAGTGATCGAGAAATAATGAATGACAAATGTTTTCAATGAAAATACCAGTAATCAAAACTTTTTCCATTGTTGTTGCAAGTTAAACAATGTTTAACACACAAAGTTATCAGATTGAGTTACACTTTCAAAGACTTTTGACTGGATTCTTTAGAAATGAAATATGTCTGCTTTGATGGTATGCCAGCTTATGTCAAGTCATTGTTGATGGTGTGGGCGAACCCCTCAATTCTGCAACCTTAAATGATGAAATAAAAACATTCCAATGTAATAGTTGAATATGATCACGAAGTAATTTTGTTAACTAAGGAAAGGTATACCTTCATCACATGGTCGTCAATATGCTTCAACTTTGAGACATCAGGAAGAATATCTTTCTTACATCGTTTTGGTGGTTTAGGATCTGGAAACGTCTTTCTATTGTTGTTATCTTTAACTTTGTCTAAATCGTCTAAATGTTTTACTGCTGGTATTGTTTCGGTGTTGACATTTTCATTTCTCGATGCAACACGACCCATTTTGTCCTCAAATTGACTTTCTTGTACACTATTTAATCTACAGAGAATTTAAATATGTATGGTCAAATCCTGCTGTAATTAGTTTAAATTGAAGAGAGCATGTAGATGGACAATGTAATTCAAACAAACGCTTTAATCAGTAAACATTAAATGTTTGAACTTTGTGTATTTTTAAGAAAATTTATAAAAGTATCAACCATTAAGTTGATCTTTTTGTCAAACTGAAATTCGGATTAAAAAAGCTTTAAAAATCAATATGACCATGTGCTTCTTTAAAGAAGGATAATGTATATATGCCATGTATATAAAATAGTACGTAAGATGTTTTGAACATATATAACTGATTTTGTCTTTAAATATACTGGTAGGCATACCGGTAGTTAAACTACACGTTTGATTTTTTATTTTATCTCTAGTCGTTATCTTGTATTATTTGTATTAAGTTACGTAACTACTGTTTGTGATGACATGCTTTTTTGTATATAATTTATAATCTTTGATGTGAATTTTCACGGATGTAAAAATTTTTAACTTGACAATGCAGGCTCGAAGGTATTTATGATACCCACCTCTCCTGATAATGCTTTGTTCCGACTTCTTATTAATTTGACTGATGTTATAAAAAGAGGCGTATGAAATTTACACAACTCAAAAATAGAAGAAAAAAGGGCAACCCCATGGCAAAAAAAAAAAAAAAAAAAAAAAAATAGACAAACAATTCCACAATAATTCCACAAAATATTACATAGAAAAATAAAAACCGAGCAACACGAACCCAACCAAAAACTGGGGATAACCTTGGGTGTTCCGGAAGGGTAAGCGTATTATGCTCTTATGAACCTTATAATTTAGATAAAGATGTACTTACATGTATATGTGCAATTTTTACATTTGTATTAGCGGCTTTAAACTTGCATATCAGTTTCTGTGTCAATTTTCAGGATTTTTTTTGTGGAAACAAAAACAACATTTAATTTTCTATATCTAACAACAGTATTCAAAACAAATGTAACTAATTATAAATGAAATGAAAGCTTCGAAATACCTTGTTAATAATGAAAATATGTTGTATGTTCCATCCAAAATAAGTTAATGAATTATCAAGAAACGAAAGTTACAATTGAAATAACAAGTCACATGTTTTGAATAACAGGTAAGTGGGAAATACATAATCTTTAAATAGTAAATATGTGATAAGATATGTATTTAAATAATATATATATATAAATATAAATCATGTAAAATATGCTAATTGTAAAGTTTACCTCTTATCACTGGGCTTTTTTTTTTTTATTAACATTGTAATTAGGCTGAACGACATGGCAGTATGTGTATACACAGAAGATGCCTTCTTTAAAATTAAGAGAAACTATTATTTCTTGTCGCGCACACACAGCTAGTATTACCTGTAACAATTACTGAAGACAATACATCAATAATTTTATATTGTTATTATTATTGCTTAATTGTTAAAAAATCATGCTTACCAAATTACTGGACCAAATCAACGTTTGAAAAAGTTTCAATGTGTTCTAATTTGATGATTTTTAATATATATGGATATGTAAAAACTTGCCAAATAAATGTATCATGATTGCATTAAATTGATGTTCAATATAACATGTATTTATCATGAGGTTGGACTGACTACGGAAACAATTCACTCCTTATCTAACGATTATTTTCTCACTTCCTTACAAGTTTTCCGTCGTATTTTTCCCAACAACAGCAATTGATAACTTCTTGATATTGTATTGCAATCTTTTTTGACAAAAGCTTTTTAGCTTTAAAATTCTGTGTTTTGCATTTTCAAACTTGTAAAACATTTACAGTCCATTAGACAGAATCATCTGATACGTGTATTTCCTTAAAATGAAATGGAAAGATAGAAAACGTTTGAAGGATTTTCCTCAACAACCTACCATGTGATGCTTTTTTTCTCTTCTGTAACATAAGTATGGAATAAAATAAAACATTTTGAAGCATTTTTTCATCAACTATTGATCATATCTTCTTGAATTCTGACACCAAGAATCATCAAAATAGCTATGCCATGTAATGCATAAACATCTTGTATTATTATTTATAATCTTTGATGTGAATTTCAGCGTATGTAAATTTTTTGTACTTGACAGTGCAGACTCGAAGATATTTTTTTGTACCAACCTCTCCTGATAATGATAGAGAGGCGGATGATATCAAGGGTGCATTAAAAACTCATAAATCGAAGAAAAACTGACAACGCCACATGGCAAAAAAAAACCCAAAAAAGACAAATAGACAGACAAGTCCAAAAACACTACATAAAAAACTACAAGCCGAGTAACACAAACTCCACCAATTACATGGGATGATCGCAGGTGGTTCGTTTTGTTAAGTTTACCATAATCATAGGAACCTTATTTATTAAGATACACAAGAAGTACTTATATGTGCAGCTTTTTCAATGCATATCAGTTATTAATCAATATACAGGAATTCTCTGATAAAACAAAAACTACATGTACTTTTCTATACTTAACAACAGTGTTTAAAACATACGCAATTAGTTATCAATGAAATTAATGGTTCGAAATACCTGGTTTAATGACCATATGTTGTATCCAAAATATGTTTACTTATTGAATTATCCAGAAGCGAAAGTTAGAATTGAATTAAAAAGAACAGGTAAGTAGGAAATACACAATCTTTAAATAGTAAATATGCGATAAGATGTCTATTTAAAGTCACATATAAATATAAATGATGTCAAATATGTTAATTATAAACTTATATATACATGTAAATAAAGGCAACAGTAGTATACCGCTGTTCGAAACTCATAAATCGATAGAGATAAAAACAAATTCGGGTTACAAACTAAAACTGAGTGAAACGCATCAAATATAAGAGGAGAACAACGACACAACAAAAACACAACATTAAAATGTAACACACACAGAAACGAACTATAATATAACAATGGCCATTTTCCTGACTTGGTACAGGACATTTTAAGAAAAAAATGGTGGGTTGAACCTGGTTTTGTGGCATGCCAAACCTCCCACTTTAATGGCAACGTCAAACACAACACCAAAACGACAACATCACATGACAGGACCACAATACAAATACATGGGAGAACATATAGGACAAAGAAACACACGAATAATAGCTAACAAAAGGTACTAGGCTTAAAATTCAATACGCCAGACGTGCGTCTCGTCCACACAAGACCATCCAGTGACGCTCAGATGAAAAAAGCTTGAAAGCCAAAACAAATACAAAGCCGAAGAGCACCGAGGACCAAAACTTCCAAAATGTTGCGCCTAACACGGTCAGGGTTTTCTGGCTGGGACAAGAACATCCTTATTATTTGGAATAATTTATAAACCTCTTATGTCTGGGACTTTTTTGTTTACATTTTCAGACTTAAGACATGGCCGCAGTGTAAGTAAACGTAGAAGATGCACGACCCTCTCAGCAAATAATGAGAACTTGTTATTTCTTTCAGCGAACGCACAGGTTTTGGTGGGGTTCGTGTTGCTCAGTCTTCAGTTTTCTATAATGTGTTTTGTGTACTATTGTTTGTCCTTTTGTTCTTTTTCGTTTTTGAGCCATGGCGATTTCAGTTTATTTTCGACTTATGAGTTTGAATGTCCCTTTGGTATCTTTCACCTCTCTTTTAGCCTTGTTAATTTTATATTGTTATATTTGTTGCTTAATTGTTTAAAAATCATCACGATCATGCTTACCAAATTACTCGACGAAATAAACATTCGAAAAAGTGTCAATGTGTTCTTATTTGATGATCTTTGATATATATAAGTATGTAAAAACTCGCCAAATAAATGTATTATGATTGCATTAAAATTGATGTTCAATATAACATGTATTTACCATGAGTATGGACTGACTACGGAAACAAATCACTCCTTATCTAACGATTTTCTTCACTTCCTTACAAGTTTTTCGTCGTATTTTTCTAAAAAAAGCAATTGATAACTTCTTGATATTTTATTGCAAGTTTTATCGAACAAAGCTATTTAGCTTAACTATTCTGTGTGTTGCATTTTCAAACTTGTTATACATTTACAGCCCGTTTGACGGAAACGAGTATTTCCTTAAAATGCACAATGGAAGGATAAGCAGCTTTTGGTGCATTGTCCTCAACAATTTCAATCCCCCATGTGATGCTTTTTTTTTTAGTCTGTAACGAATTGCGCTGCTATTTATCTGTTTTTTGCGTATAGAAAATTTATTTATTTGTCAGCAATTTTTATCTTAATATTAAGATAAGGATAAGTGATTTGATCGCTATACCTAATGAGACACTTTGAAACCAAAGTACAAAATGATATAGATGTAAGCAATTATAGGTCACCATACTACATTCAGTAATGAGTAAATTCCACACCGAATAGTCAGTTATAGTTATTTAATTGTGAAAGAATTCAGACGAGAAAACCGACCGCCTGACTTATGACAGACAACAACCAACGACAACGACTGAATAACACTCTTGAGTTGAGGCAGGTACTTGGAGGATGTGGCGAGTTTAAACTTGTTTGTGATCGCTCAAAACTCTCCTTACCTGGGACAGAAGCGATACATAAGAAAAAACTCTAAAAATCTTTTGAAAAAAGCTTGACATATCGAGTTGGTACTAAACGCACAACTAACTAATATAAGGACACAATACATAAACATACCGGTTTAAGAGTACTTGCAGTTACCGAAAGCTAGTTTAAAGTCAAAACAAGTAACAAATACATCATGTTGTCCAGACTAAATTATCAATCAGTACCCATCCAATACATTTAGTTTGAAGACGTCAAAAACAGTGTGCGAAAAGCATGATCTTGTGCAATACCAAAATATAAGAACACATGTCAGTAAAGATAAGATGTAGGAACGTAAGTTTTCATAACTGGACAGTTATCACTCTGGTATCTTTCGCCCCTCATTTAGTTATGTTTTGATTTATGAAAAGTAAAAGCAATGTACGTATAAAAAAAGTGTTTAAAAATCTTATAAAGATGTTAAATAAATGCAACAGATTAACCTGATAATCTTTAAGATGAAGTTTATTCAAAGGATCAATGAGTTAAATGGAACGAATCGAAATTTATGGGCTTTATGTAACATTACCGTAAAAATTAAGATGTGATAATCTGTTTGTAATAAGAATTCTACAAGTACAGCCTAACTTTCTTACCAAATATTTGTATTTACTAAAAAAATAAGTGAAAGTGTTAAATAATTTGTGACTTACTAATTAAGCAGTTATACAAAGATTTCGTTCATTGAAATCTAAAACGTCACTTCAGACAAGGGCATAGCGAATGCTTTAGGAAATATAAACAACGTAAGTAAGAAGGAACATCCCCGTCCAATGCAGGAAAATAAACATTAGGGAACGAAAATGGTTATTCATGTTTCTGTACACGACAAAATCACCGGAAAACAGTTAATTTTGTTCACAAATTGCACTGACTGTAAGCTTGATTTTACTTCTTTTAGTTACTCTTACTTGAAAGAGTACCAGCATGTCCTATCACAATGTAGGTAATCTGACAAAAGATTATATACTCCGGAGTCAAAAGTCAGTAATAAGAAAGTAGTCTATTGAATTGAAAAAAATGTTAATGTATCCGAAGTTAGCTATTCGTTATTCGATATTCAATATCCGACCAGCCACTAGTAGAATAGAGGCGAAATATACCAGAGGGACATTCAAACTCTCAGTTGAAAATAAACTGACAACGCCATGGCTAAAAAAAGGAAAAGACCAACAGACAAACAATAGTACAAAAAACACAACATAGAAAACTAAAGACTGAGTAACACGAACGCCACCAAAAACTTGCTCATGTTAGTACAAACCCGGTAATAGGTCTAATTCGGTGGGTCATATTTGGGAAAAGGGGGCGGGATTGTAGGAACGACATGAGGAACATATCCGTTATCATCTGTGAAACAGATATTCCATAACGGTCAACCAACTCGTGATGGCGTCCGTAAAACTTACGAAGGGATGATTTCAACTTCACCACTTGGAACTCTTGGTTTAATAGCTTACTTGTGAGCAGCAGCCCTCTATCAAAGAAATCATGATAGGAAATACAAGCACTGGAATATCGTATCAACTGGAAGATATATACTCCGTATGCAGGCGCTACTGGAATGTT